ATAAAAGGATCTTGGGGGGGATGTACAGTAAAGGTTTCACTATGACTTTAGGAATAGTTGCTGAGAATTTGCAAGGTCAGAAGCCACATGATGCCAGGTTTTAGTCCTTCATCAGGGTGGAGTGGTACTCTACCTGACAAAGGAGTAGTGCTCCGAAAGCTTGTGGTTTTAAATAAACCTGTTGGACTATAACCTGTTATCATGTGACTACCGACCCTGTCCACTCCAGTCCAACACCAGCACCTCCACATCGGGAATATGCATGAAGAGCTATGCCATAATGATTGAACAATGAGTGACAATGCTGTGGTTTGAAGAGATTATTTTGTCCATTTTTTTTTAAAATGCAAGGGTAGAATACATAGGTGCTGAGCTGTCTACTTGGCATTCTAGTAAAGTAAATAGCTTGTGTGGCCTTACAGTTTTTTTTAAAAGTTGGAACAATAAACGCAGCCTGGATGGGTGTGGCCAGCTCTTAAAACATAGAACATAGAACGGTACAGCACAGTACAGGCCCTTCGGCACAATGTTGTGCCGAACTTTTACCCTAAACCTAAGGTCTATCTAACCTCCACCCCTACCTTATACTATCATCCATATGACTATCTAATAGCCGCTTAAATGCCCCTAATGAGGCCGACTCCACGACCGGCAATGCATTCCATGCCCCTACCACTCTCTGAGTAAAGAACCTACTTCTGACGTCTCCCTGATATCTACCTCCTTTCACTTTAAAACTAAGTTCCCTCGTAAAAGCTACCTCCACCCCAGGAAAAAGTCTCTGGCTGTCTACTGTATCTATACCTCTGATCATTTTGTACACCTCTATCAAGTCACCTCTCATCTTTTGTCGTTCTAAAGAGAAAAGCCCCAGCTCTCTCAACCTTTCCTCGTAAGACCTTCCCTCCATTCCAGGCAACATCCTGGTAAATCTCCTCTGCACCTTTTCTAAGGCTTCCACATCTTTCCTGTAATGAGGTGACCAGAACTGGACACAATACTTCAGATGTGGCCGAACCAGACTTTTGTATAGCTGGAGCATAACTTCACGGCTCTTGAACTCAATCCTTCTATTAATGAAAGCAAACACACCATACGCCTTCTTAACAATTCTATCCACCTGGGTGGCAGCTCTCAGGGAACTGTGGACATGAACCCCAAGATCCCTCTGCTCCTCCACACTGCCAAGAATCTTTCCGGTAACCCTGTATTCTGCTTTCAGCTTTGTCCTTCCAAAATGAATCACCTCACACTTTTCAGGGTTAAACTCCATGTGCCACTACTCAGCCCAGCTCTGCATTCTATCAATGGCCCTTTGTAACCTAGAACAGCCCTCTGCATTGTCCACAATGTGACCCACCTTCGTATCGTCCGCGAACTTGCTAATCCACCCTTCCACTCCTTCATCCAAATCATTTACAAAAATCACAAATAGAAGAGAACCCAGAACAGATCCTTGTGGTACACCACTCATAACTGAGCACCATGTTGAATATTTTCCGTCCACTACCACCCTTTGTCTTCTAAGGGTCAGCCAATTCTGAATCCAATCTGCCACATTTCCCCCGATCCCATCTCTCGTTACCTTCTGCATGAGCCTACCATGGGGAACCTTATCAAACGCCTTACTTAAATCCATGTATACCACATCCACTACTCCACCTTCATCCTCATGTTTGGTCACCTCTTCAAAGAATTCAATAAGGTTTGTGAGGCATGATCTACCCCTCACAAATCCATGCTATCACGAATCAAACTGTGCCTTTCCAAGTGATCATAAATCCTGTCTCTCAGAGCCCTTTCCAATAATTTGCCCATCACTGATGTAAGACTAACTGGCCTGTAATTTCCGGGGTTATCCCTGTTCCCTTTTTTGAACAAGGGAATGATGTTTGCCTCTTTGTAATCTTCCGGCACTATACCTGTGGACAGTGAGGACGAAAATATCATCACCAAAGGCCCTGCGATCTCGTCCCTCGCTTCCCATAGAATCCTTGGATAAATCCCATCAGGCCCGGGGGACTTAACTATCTTCAACATCCTCAGCATTCCCAGCACATCTTCTTTACTAACATCAACCTCCTTTAGCCTACCTGCCTGTTTGACAACATCCTCCTCTACAACTAGGTCCCTCTCAGTTGTGAATACTGAAGAAATGTATTCATTAAGGACCTCTCCTATCTCTTTAGGCTCTGTGCACAAATTCCTTTTACAATCCTTGATCGGCCCTACCCTTTCTCTGGTCATTCTCTTGTTCTGCACATACGTGTAGAAAGCCTTGGAGTTTTCCTTGATCCTATCAGCCAAGGTTTTCTCATGCCCCCTTATAGCTCTCCTAAGCCCTTTCTTCAGCTCCCTCCTGGCTAACTTGCACCCCTCTAGAGCCTTTTCTGTTCCTCTTTTCCTGAACCTTACATAAGCCTCCTTCTTCCTCCTAACCAGTTGTTCGACCTGTCTCAAGAACCATGGCTCCCTCACTCGACTGCATCTTCTCTGCCTGCTAGGGACAAACATATTGAGCACATGCAGTATGCATTCCTTAAACAATCTCCACATTTCTATGATGCTCTTCCCTGACAGCATCTGTTCCCAACCTAGGTTACCCAGTTCTTGCCTAACTGAATTGTAATTACCTTTCCCCCAATTATAAACTTTATTACCCTGTCGTATGTACCTATTCTTATCCATGACTATTGTGAAAGAAACAGAGTTATGATCGCTACCTCCAAAATGCTCTTCTACCAACAGGTCTAACACTTGGCCCGGTTCGTTGCCAAGCACCAAATCCAAAGTGGCCTCTCCTCATGTTGGTCTAACTACATACGGTGTCAGGAATCCTTCCTGAACGCACTGGACAAAATCTGCTCCATCTAAACTATTACAACTAAAATGTTTCCAATCATTACTCGGAAAGTTGAAGTCACCCATGACTACAACGCTGTGACTTCTGCACCTATCCAGTATCTGCCTCCAAATCTGCTCCTCTACTTCTCTGCAACTATTAGGGGGTCTGTAAAAAAACCCCAACAAAGTGACTGCTCCTTTTTTGTTCCTGACCTCAACCCAAACTGATTCTGTAGACATATCATTCTCGAACTGCCTTTCAGTAGCTGCTATACTCGCCCTGACTAGCAATGCCACTCCCCCACCTCTTTTTCCACCCTCCCGATTTCTTTTAAAGCGTCTAAATCCTGGAACTTCCAACAACCATTCCTCTCCCTGAGTTACCCAAGTTTCTGTAATGGCCACAACATCGTAGTTCCAAGTGCTGACCCATGCTCTAAGTTCATCCGCTTTATTTCTGATACTTCTGGCATTGAAGTATACACACCTCAAACCATCTCGGTGTCCGCAATTACGCTTCATCGACCGCATTTCTTTATAAACCACCTCACTCCCTGTTGTGTCTGTTGGAAGGCCAAATACCTCATCCTCTGACTTATAAATCCGGTTCCCCACCCCCTGCCAAACTAGTTTAAACCATCCCGTACAGCTCTAGCAAACCTCCCTCCCAGGATATTTGTGCCCTTCCGGTTCAGGTGCAACACGTCCTTACTGTGCAGGTCCCACCTTCCCCAGAATGTGCTCCAACTATCCACATAATGGAAGCCCTCCCTCCTACACCAGCCTTGTAGCCACGTGTTTAGCTGCACTCTCTCCCTATTTCTTACCTCGTTATCACATGGCACTGGTAGTAATCCAGAGATAACTACCCTGTTTGTCCCGGACTTCAGCTTCCAACTTAACTCCCTGTGCTCGGTTTTCACATTCTCTGTCCTTTTTCTACCTATGTCATTGGTACCGATGTGTACCATGACTGCTGGTTGCTCATCCTCCCCCTTAAGGATCTTGAAGACACGATCCGAGACATCACGGACCCTGGCACCCGGGAGGCAACATAGAGAACCAGGATTCCTAGTTTTTCTTTAGTTTTTAGGTTTAGCTTTAAGCACTTGCTGTTACAGTCTCAACAGGGGAGAAGCTTCTAGAGTTTTGAAGAAGTAGAAGCTATATTTTCCCTCTCTCGGATACAGTGAGAAACTGGGGCTTCTATCTACTGTTTTGAGACAAATCTATTTTTCTGAATTTGCCTTTTTGCCAAGGGGTGTGTTTATGGATTATCACTATATTGAAACAGTTAATTAGTTATAATTACTGTACCTAGTATTCGGTCAAGTTTTCCAATAGAGTTGTTATTCTAAGTTCTTCTTTCCTTTAGAGATAGTAGGAACTGCCAATGCTGGAGTCAGATATAACACAGTGTGGAGCTGGAGGAACACAGCAGACCAGGCAGCATCAGAGGAGCAGGAAAGCTGACGTTTCGGGTCAGGAAC